CGGTGGCGGCACACGCACACCCCGCCAACACTTTCCCGTTCGTGCCGAACGACTCGGTTGCCAGGCCCACGAAGCAAATGAAACGCGGGCTCTGGTAGAGCACGAGCAGGCCTCGCAGCAGCTTCAGGTTGAAGCCATGCTCGGCCCCACACTGCCACAGGACGTCGTGCCGCAGGTTCTCGTAGAACTTGGTACTGTCCAAAAAGAGGCTGGCGGAAGCAAACCCACTCTCCCGCGCAAAGGCGGCATATGCGTTGTGCAGCCACCCAGCCTTCTCGCTCCCGCGGTCGGCCTTGCCCCAGAAGAAGCGGTAGTCGTGCTCCACCTCCCACAGTGCACAGATCGGCTGCCTCAGGCGGCTCCAGATGCGCATGAGCAGCGGGATCAGTGCGATCGGTCGAACCCCTCTGTCTGACTTGGGAATGAAGACCATCATGGTGGCCTGGGCGCCCAGGGCCTGGGGCTGCTCCTCATAGGCCGCCAGGAGGTCCAGGCAGCGCAACAGCAGAGCCACAGGGAGCAGCAGCAGCTGCCGCGGGTGGAGCTGGTCAGCGCCAAGGCCCGCCGTCGGCGAGTAGCGCTTGCACACTGCCTGCACCATCTCCAGGCTGAGGGGCGGCAGTGTCCAGCCTCGGACGTCCCAGCTCCCGACTCCAGCTCCTGCCCTGAAGCCTTCCTGCTGTCACAAGACAAGGCTTGCCAGTTGGCCTCCAGCTGCCCGACTGCCAGCATGCCTGCCAACGGCCTGCCAGTGTCAGGGTCCACCACCTGCGGGGGCGGCACAGTCTTGGCAAACCTGTGGGCGAGCCTGCCGCCCTTCTGCACGGCTTGGCCCATGCTCTCCAGGAAGCCGAGCTCTTGCCGCCGTCGCGCCTCTGGGAGCCAGCGAGGCGCTGCCATGCTCCTGCGTGGTCTGCTGTGTTCCTGCGGTCTGCAGTGCTCCTATGGGCTGCCGTGCTTCTGTGCGGTTTGCCGCGGTCCTGTTTGGTCTGTCGTGCTCCTGTTTGGTCTGCCGTGCTCCTGTTTGGTCGGCCGTGCTCCTGTGTGGTCTGCCGTTCTCCTGTGTGGTCTGCAATGCTCCTGTGTGGTCTGCCGTGCTCCTGTGTGGTCTGCCGTTTTCCTGCGTTGCCTGCCGTGTTGCAATAACATGCCGTCCCAGGATGCTGCAACATAGCCCCAGATTGCCTCAACAGCCCACAGGGTAGCCTCAACACATCTCGGGGATCCCTCTCTTCTTCGACGTCCTTATCGTCGAGCGTCTTACCATCCTTCTTCGCAGTCCTCGTCATCGTCGTCGTCCTTCTTTCTCTCCTCCACCTCCTCCGCTTCGTTCCTCCTCGTACTCGTCCTCCTCCATCTCTTCATTGTCCTCGCGCGTGTCTATTTACTCGTTGTCGTTCTACCCCCCTCGCTGCCCTTGCCGTCATCCACGCTGCCATCCTCGACATCCGCCTCCGTGTCGTCGCCATCACCTTTTTCTTCTTGTCCCCCCTACGAGCCCAATGGACAAAATCGGCGCTTCTCGTTATCGTCCGATCTGGTTCGGCAAAGGACCTGAGGACACGCCCACTCCGTGCCCAGAGGGACGGTGGCGGATTCAGCCAACAACCACCCGATCCATGGCATATTCAGTTGCTCTCCGGATCATCCTTTGTCGTGGAAGGAGCGAATAGTCATCGAGGCAGTCACTATAATGTTTACATACTTTGCCATCTGGGTCTCAGAGATGAACGCCCATAGTCACTTCGTGGACAAGAATGTTGGCATAAAGGTGATTGCCACCGTGCCCGGTGTGGTGCTGTGGTGGGTCCTTTTTCTTCTCTTCATTTGCCCAAAGTTCGGCATCATCAACGAAGCATATCCGTAAGGGCTTCGCCCCCTGCCGCCGGCCCCCTCTCTCGGAGAATGGGCCATGGAAGAGCTAAGTCATGAGGCTTTGGCGCTGTCGTGCAGCAGTATCGGAACTTCATGCGAGGCCGATTCGCAATCGGCAAAACCAACTGATCACAAGAGGGGTTACCACACAGGGCGATTGGTAAGACGTGTATGGTTTACGAGCTTGGTTACCACACCTTGGGATTAAAGGGCCGAGGGAGTACTCGCAGTTTGGGTTACCACGCCTTGCGATGGATGTGCGTGAGGGGTGGCACCGAATTTCAGAAATGTGGCAAATCCCCTGTGTTTTTGGACCCTGACCCCGCGGATCTGCGTGAGGGGTGGCACCGAATTTCAGAAATGTGGCAAATCCCATGTGTTTTTGGACCCTGACCCCGCGGATCTGCGTGAGGGGTGGCACCGAATTTCAGAAATGTGGCAAATCCCATGTGTTTTTGGACCCTGACCCCGCGGATCTGCGTGAGGGGTGGCACCGAATTTCAGAAATGTGGCAAATCCCCTGTGTTTTTGGACCCTGACCCCGCGGATCTGCGTGAGGGGTGGCACCGAATTTCAGAAATGTGGCAAATCCCATGTGTTTTTGGACCCTGACCCCGCGGATCTGCGTGAGGGGTGGCACCGAATTTCAGAAATGTGGCAAATCCCCTGTGTTTTTGGACCCTGACCCCGCGGATCTGCGTGAGGGGTGGCACCGAATTTCAGAAATGTGGCAAATCCCTGTGTTTTTGGACCCTGACCCCGCGGATCTGCGTGAGGGGTGGCACCGAATTTCAGAAATGTGGCAAATCCCATGTGTTTTTGGACCCTGACCCCGCGGATCTGCGTGAGGGGTGTCGATTTCGAGCCCCCCCAGCAATTCAGACAACGCGCCCAGGTGAGGCTAAAAATTCTGTTTGGGCCTCCCCCCCCCTCGCGCGGTCAATCAACTAGTTACAGTAACCAGCAAGAAGTCAACTAGTTACAGTAACCAGCAAGAAGCAGAACTGTAACACTGGAAACTACAACCTACGACTGGTACAGGAAACTGCGAATCACGTGCCTCGCAGCCTGGTGGCCCCACAAGGGGGCTGGCGGACTCCACAGAAGAGCACCGGGCTCAGGCCAGAAAATGGCAGTGTGTAGGAGAAACCGCTGGATATGTGATTGCGATGTGTGTGTTCATCGGTGTGGGCGCGTTTGCCGCATGCGGGCGAAAGTACATCAACCCAGGAGATGATACTGTCGTTGTGTTATCTGGTCGCGTGCGGGGGTACTTTGTATTCTGGTTCCTCCAGGCATTTGTGTATTTCAATCCCTTTGTGGCATGGGGGCAGCCAGACACAACAACATCCGCCTTTGGCTATCTGGGTAGTCTCACCGGCGTGGGACAGTGGCGGCTCGAACGCCAAAAGTTCCTGTGGATCTGCGCTAACGCTCTCAGGGGATGGGAGGCACGTCAATACAGAGAACAGCTGTTGAAAGACCAAAACTTGTGGATGAAGCCTCGTGATGCGGTCTGGGAGTTTCAGGACAAAATAGAGTACAAGCCGTATGATGACGACTGCCAGTGGCACCTCGAGACCAAGTACCAGAGATGGCTAGAGGGCGGCTGGAAGTTCACGAAAGTCTTCACCGGCGGTCACTCGTTCTGGATTAATTTTGAGCAGATGACGCAGTCTGGGGCGCAGAGATCTAGGGCCATCAGGCGCACTGTCAAAGACATGGCGGGGCCGAGCGGTGCCCCGCGCGCCTAGTGGATTCGCCCATGCAGGACCATGCTTCGTCCTGGTTGCTGCATCGAGCGCGCCCTGCAAAATCGCGAGGGCGGGCTCAGCTTGTGCAGCTGCCGACGGTCCGAGCACAATAACTGACCACCATTACCAAGATCTCGAAAAACACGCGCGACCCGTTTTGACGCAGTTTGGATGTTGCTGAGAACTCTTTGTCGAAGCCCGGTCGCCAACGACGACTGGGGTTCCCCTCCTCGCGCCCGAGGGCCGGAACGGGTCTCATCATTAATAAACGTGGTGGTGGTGTACATCATTTTGGCTACAGGAAGACCAGATGTTTGTATACCGCTACCAAGTTGGGCGGTGTCTGCTTTGGGAGTTACCCTCCCATGGCGCTCGTGCGCCATGCTGCGGTCCCATTCGCCGCGGAGTCGTGGCATCGTCTGATACGGCCCAAATTCAGAACATGTATGAGACTATGTGTTGCGGGCGGTGGTGATGTACAATACTTGGCCATCGATACCTGAGAACTTCTGGACGTGATCAAACATGCCCAAGCACAGACGTCCAGGGGGCGGAGTGGCAGTAAAGAGAAGATGGGAGGGACGAGGAAGGAGTGATGATATGGAAAAGTGAGGGAGAAGAAGGAAGATAATGCGGATGGATGACTAGATGGGGGGCTTGAGGCGGAGGAGGAGGATGAGGTGGCGGCGGCGGGGCAGTAGGACACGTGCTAGGAGTCTGGAGGAGGAGGGACAGGGAGAGGTACGTGGGAAAATGGAGGGAGGAGAGGAGATGCAGAGAGGATAGGGGAGGAGTCGGAGGTGGAGGATGACGAGGCCTGTATGGAGAAGGAAGATGCTTGAAAAGCAACGGCAATGGGAGGAGGGATGGAGCTGGGGAGGGAGGGGATCTTGAGAAAATCGGTCCCAGTGTTCTTCCTGGGGCCCACCTGGCCACTTCGTTTTCCAGGCCGCGTCCAGTCATGGCGACGCGAACCTTCAGGGACACCCCCAAGACCTCACAGACGACTACGCAGTCGCTCTTCGTAACCCTTTGCGGCTCGCTCGGTCGCTCGCTCGTCGTCGTCGTCGACGCCGCAACCGCCGCCGTCAGCGTCGTCGCCGCCGCTGCTGTCGCCGCCGCCGCTGCCGTCGTCGTCGCCCTTCGTCGTCGTCGTCGTCGTCGTCGTCGTCGTCATTGTTGTCGTCGTCGTCATCGTCGTCATCGTCGTCGTCATTGTCGTCGTCGTCGTCCTCATCGTTGTCGTCGTCGTTACCGTCGTCGTCGTCGTCGTCGTCGCCGCCGTCGTCGTCGTCATTGTCGTCGCGCCGCCGCCGCCGCCACCGCCGCTGCCGCCGCTGCCACCGCGCGGCGCTCGCGCCGCCGCCACAGCACATCCTGTGCAGCGGCGTGGACACGCGGCTGTCGCAGTTCGAGGCATCCGTCGCCAGGGGGAGCAGCCCCCTTGCGCGCGAGGCGCGGTCGGCGACGTCAGGGGCAACGTCAGGGGGGATGGGCTCAGGGAGGCAACTCTAGGGGCAATGTTAGATTTCTTGAGTTTTCGTACATGGTCGTTGGTTCCTGGAGGGTTGCCAGCCTCGGAATGCTTCACAGCAGCTGCGCCTCGCCGATGATGCTCTGGGGGTGCCCAGATCGTCCCGAACGGCCGCCAGAGAGCCAAGTTATGGTCTGAATATTGGGAAGCAACGTTAGAGTGGGGGAGGCTCAGGGGGGGACGCATGACCCCCGACGGGCCCGTTAGCACGCCCTGCCCTGCAGCGTGCGGATTCGCTATCTGGGGCATGTCGCCGATGTATCGCCGATTCCAACTCGATGTTTTCGCCTCGGAGCTGGTCCCCCCCAAACGTTCGTCTCAGCCCCTCTGCGCGCTGGGCGTGGTCGGCGAGGTCTCCCGACGTCTTCGTGAGCCCCCCGAGCTTTGCCAGGGCCTCTTGGGGCCTTTCGGGGGCCTCTCGGGGACTAGTGCTCGAAATGTCCGTTCGGGTTCCCCGTCTGGGTACTCTCTTAGAGCCGTCTTGGTACCCTCGGGGAATTATTGAAGGCCTCTTGACCGTTTTGGGGCGATCTCTGGGGTCCTTGAAGCGTCGGGAAGTCGAAAAGGCGAGAACGCCAAAACCGATCAAACATCTGAGGGAAGTCTATGAAGTCTGCCTCTTGGGAGTGATCTTGGATGCGTCTTGGGGCGTCTTGAAGGCCTCTTCGGCCGTCTGCAGCCTATCCTGAGCGTCTTGTTCGGCGATTCGTGGCCTTCTTTTGGCCCTTTTGGCCCGTCTTGGGGCCGTTTTGGGCTCCGGACCCCGTATTCTGACCCGGGACTCCACTCAGGACCCCCTCCCTCAACACCCCTTAGGGACACCCATCAGCACCCCCCTCCGCCGACACCCCCCCCGTCGGGGAAGGGATCAAAGGGAAGGGGCTTTCCTTCGACTCAACTTCGACGTGGCTCAATTCGCTTTGGCTGGGGCGCTTCAGCAGGAAGGCTCAGGGAAAGGGGGGGGAGCGGCGACGGCGACGGCGACGGCGATGGCAGCGGCGGCGGCGACGACGATGACGACGATGACGACGACGACGACGCCGACGCCGACGCCGACGCCGACGACGGCGGCGGCGGCGGCAGCGGCGACGACGACGACGCTGCCGACGCCGACGCCGACGCCGACGACGACGACGACGACGATGACGAGTCAAACGCCGACCTTGCCGATGCATCGGTGATGCATCGACGATGCGGCGCGATCACCCGACAATCTTCTCTGACCCCATGTGGGAGGCCTAGATGAATGTCACTGGTCGCTCCCTTATAGGCCCTTGCGGGATGCTCGAAATGAGCGCCTTGAGAGCTGATGTCTCGCGGCCCTTCCTCCTTCGCGTGACTCTCTAGGAGCCGCACGGTGAGGGTCTGGCGAGGGAGGTGAGCTTCAACAACGATCTTAACATCCTTCGCAGTGGCCGCCGGGGGCTGCTAGAGACGGCGGGAAGAAGAGGCGGAGGCTTTGATCGCATTGGTCCATCTCGGATGCAGGAGCATGGCCATGATGTTCTTTGTTGCAACGCGACCAGACGTGCACCATACACTGGCCACGGCGAGAATCGTCCTGGGGGCCTCTTTGGGCCGTCTTGGGGACCTCTTGGGCCGTCAACGCACCGACAGGCGCAGAGTTCCACATGGGAACCACCACTGGTCCCGGCGAGTGTGGATTCCACGTTGCGCGACTGATCGGTGGCGGCCAAGAGGGGTGTGATGACTAGGGGTCGGATACCATCATATCTCCCCAGACCTCACGGCCCGCTCTTCTTCTTTACTCGCTTGGTACCCGCCTCGTCCGCGCATGTGCCTCTGGCCACTTTGCGCCCCCCTCTCCGACGCCCACGGACCCGTCGCTTCCCCGCCGGAGTGCCCACTGATGCCCGCACTGTGCTCTTGGTGCAGGCCCGTGCCGGCCACTGCGCATGGGTGTTGCTCCTCCGAGCATCGGGCGCCGACCGTTCCCCTGCCCCTTCAGCCAGCACACTCAGGACGCCAGAGTTTGGGTCCCTCACTCTAAAGTGAGCTGGGTGTTGCATGTGGGTGGGAACGAGCGTGCATCCGCGGCTGTTTGGCTCAAAGCGGCCAGCCGCCCGGATCTGACTACACCTCAGCGCGAGGTGTACTATTTGCCATCGATACCAAAACTGTTTGAGATGGCTCGCCCCCTATTACTGGGACTATCGTTACTACGGTACAACAGAGCGGGAACTGGGTTTCGCCTAGGGCGAAGTTGCCGGTTGGCTTCCCAACCCCTTTTCAAATTTGGTAGCGGAGTTGGCCTATGGTGGTCAGCTCTAGCCATTCTCTTCACCATGCACGGCAGTGGGTTTGCGCGGAGGAATGTATATAATTACGCAACATAGCAAGGACACTTGCAGTGACACCTTTGCCTACGCGGAGGCCTCCTATCTGCGTCCGACATCCCTGCGTTACTCTACCCCCTGAAGGCCACCCACCTACTCCTATTGGACACTTTGTCGAAGACCTAATGCATGGAAACATGCGATACGACATTGTGCCGCCCCCGCCCCCGCGCAGGCTTACGACCACATACCGCAAACTCCAACTGGTGACATCCGACTACGACCTGCGAGGCCTTTGGTATTGCTACATTTGAGCTCACATGGGTCGTTATCGGGTGTGCGGTAGGACATATGCGTGGCGGTGACGACACAAGAACGACCGGCCCCCAGTGGGACCCGTCCGGTCAAGTACCTTTTCCGCGAATTTGTCCGCGAGGTGCATGCCTGGATCAACGTGACCATAGGCAATATGACGCCCTCCCAACAAGCTGCAGCCTTGCAGCGAGGCTTGGGTGGCCTCGCGCGGATCATAGCCATGAGAGTTCCCCCAGCAGTTACCAATTCCGGCGTTAACATCGGTGGCCGCCATACCGATGGTGCCACTTACATCATGTTCTCCTTAAGTACGAAGTTCGAGAACCTAGAAGAGGAACGCCAATTCAACTCCTGGTACAGTTCTCATTGATTTCCGAGTCCATGCGGGAGAACGGATCGACCAGACTCTGGCACGCTTCGAGGTAGCCGTCTATGAAGATTCCCAACTCCCAAATTCGAACAGCTCATTGATCCAGAGCCCTTGGGGTGGGGACATCGCGCGCACAGCAACTCCTGCAGCCACTCAACCACCGCGCGCCGAGGGACCGGCAACAGTTTGACTCTCTATTTGAACGCGCGAGATCATGTGCTCACATTGCTGAGGGAACCCTCGGCAAGATTGGTGGTATTTTCAGCCACGGTCACCGAACCAAGACCTTCCACGTTGAGGCCAACGCAGGGCAACCTGCTAATGACGTCTGGAATGACAATCCGCAACCAACAGAGACCACTACACTACTGGCTCAGAATGGTGGTCCGGCTTCGGGGTCGCGAGACTCCTGGGCCAGGTTTCGAGGGCCGCCCGACGCGGCGCCCCCTTCGCAAGCCGCGACCTTGATGGGCTCAGCGGGGCAACCTGCTGAGTCCGACTTCGACTCCGGTACTGTCACCGACGCGTCTTTGGACGACGAGGCTTTTGCCCTTGACTGCTCCGATATGCCAACGTACCTCACGGAAGAACAACCTGCGCAATGGTTATTCTTAGGATACCAGAGACCGAAACGCAGGTGGAGGCGATTTACGAAGAAGCTAGTTCGTAAAGTACGGCGCATCGTCCGACGGGCATTCAGGGACAAGGCAAGGGTCGAGGTAATGGTAAACGTAAGCGGCGGCGATTGCATGGCAGAGGCACGTTAGCATTCTTAGCATCCCTTACCGGGCCACAAAATGAAGACATATCCCTTGGTGCGGGCAGGAACCGTAGGCATACATCAGGAAGAGGCAGCGGCAGTGCTATGGAGTGCGACATATGCCACAGCACACAGCACTTCGCCGCGAATGCCCTCAGGGCGATGGGAGAGCCAGAGGTCCGTCGATGCACCTGGCTCAAACTATTCGGATATCCAGTACGTTGGCTGGGAGTCACTTTTGGCCGACCCTGCCGATCGCTCAGTTGCAGTTGTCATTTTCATGGCTGCCAGATTTTTGCGCGCCAGTATGTCCCTCGAGAATTATGCCGACGGGCTGTTCGTGGAGGCACTCGCTGGCCACAATGACATCGAGCTGGCAGACTGGCTGGGCATGCCCATAGCGAGGCAACCTGCTGATATTGAATTCGCCGAGAACTTCCACGTGCCCGCCGAAGGAGACGACGAAATGACGGGGGCGCGCCACTATTCTTGCGACAGCGCAGGAAGTACAGTGGATGCTTTATCCTCAGGTTATTGTCAATCCGACCAACATGAAATTGAGTGACGATGGCCCTTTGCGGGGAAACCCGCGAGATGTTAGCGATCTGTCTGAGCGCATTCAGTGCGAGCTCGCTCGGCCACGACGAAGGATTTCAACGTGCATTCGTAGCTTCGGACCGCCCCATGGGCCGCCGGGGGCGATCGGCAAGCCGCCAGTCCTGGAGACGCAAGTATCGCGCCGACGACGATGACGAGGAATGGGAAGATGACGCCCGTCTGGCACGTCGCGGTCGGGTCCGCAGTGGCTCGCCCGACCGCGCGCGCGCTCCAGCGGCGCTCGCTCTAGCGGCCTTCAGCCCCCTGCGAGGAAGCCAAGGGCCCCTTGCATGGAAGGTCAATAGACCCGGCGCCCCCCCGAGGGGGGGGCGCCCGCGGGGCCCCCCCCCTCAATTGGGGAGAACCTCGCGAACAATATCCAGAAGACGAAATACAGCGCCTTGTTAGCTACTGGGATGCTGGATTGGCTCGTCAGTACATAGACCCAGATACAATGCAACAGTGGTTGGGCAAGGGGTGGGCTGAGCACCGGATTCGTCGCTGGCATTCTCTTCGCAAGGTTGATCGAAATGAAGAAGGCAA